CCAGGCACTGGGCGCCCTTCGCCTGCGGGGCGGGCGGTGACAACGACTTGCAGCCTGAGGCGCAGCTCCAGGTCCTGTTCTTCCCCCTGCCTCTCTGGGAACCGGCGGTGCTGGAGCACCCCGTATGTATGGGGGGTCTTGGAATCAAGCTCTAAACCCTGGGTAGATGAGACCTGTTGCAAGGCACAGGGCACCCCTAGCGCCCCTTAGTTCATAGAAAACTAGGGCTGTGTCTAGACTGGCCAGTTTTTCCGGAAAATCAGCCACTTTTCCGGAAAAACTTGCCAGCATCTACACTGGCCGCTTGAATTTCTGCAAAAGCACTGGCTTCCTCTCGTAAGAAATCAGTGCTTCTTGCAGAAATACTGTGCTGCTTCCGTTCGGGCAAAAGGACGCTTTTCCGCAAAAAGTGCTTTTGCGGAAAAGCGTCCTTGCCAATCTAGACGCTCTGTTCCGAAAACGCTTTTAACGGAAAACTTTTCCGTTAAAAGCATTTCCGGAAAATCATGCCAATCTAGACGCAGCCTAGGACTAAAAGGGAGCTTGAGAGGTCATCGAGTCCAGTCCCCTACCCTCATGGCAGGACCCAATACCATCTGACCATCCGTGATAGATGTCTATCTAGCCTGCTCCTTAATATATTCTAGTGTTTAACCACCCTGACTGGAAATTTTTCCTAATGTCCAACCTAAACATCCCTTGCTGCAGTTTAAGCTCATTACCTCTCGTCCTAGCCTCAGAGGCCAAGGAGAACAATTTTTCTCCAGCCTCATTGTGACACCCTTTTGGATACCTGAAATCGGCTATAATGTCCCCTCTCAGTCTTCTCCTTTCCAAACTAAACAAGCCCAATTCTTTCAGTCTTCCTTCATAGGTCGTGTGCTCTAGTCCTTTAATCATTCTTGTTGCTCTTCTCTGGACCTCCTTCAATTTTCCCACATCTTTCTTGAAATGTGGTGCCCAGAACTGGACACAAAACTCCAATTGAGGTCTAATCAGTACAGAGTAGAGCGGAAGAATGACTTCCCATGTCTTGCTCACAACACTCCTGTTAATGCATTCCAGAGTCACGTTTGCTTTTTTTGCAACAGCGTCACACTGTTGACTCATATTTAGCTTGTGGTCCACTATAACTCCTAGATCCCTTTCTGCAGTACTCCTTCCTAGACAGTTGCTTCCCATTCCATATGTGTGAGACTGATTGTTCCTTCCTAAGTGGAGCACTTTGCATTTGTCCTTATTAAACTTCATCCTATTTACCTCAGACCATTTCTCCAGTTTGATCAGATCATTTTCAATTATGACCCTGTCCTCCAAAGCAGTTGCAACCCCTCCCATCTTGGTATCATCTGAAAACTTAATAAGTGTACTCTCTATGCCAATATTTAAATAGTTGATAATGATATTGAACAGAACCAGTCCCAAAACAGACCCCTGCAGAACCCCACTTGGTATGCCCTTCCAGCAGGATTGTGAACAGTTAACTACTCTCTGAGAATGGTTATCCAGCCAGTTATGCACCCCCCTTATATTAGCCCCATCTAAGTTGTATTTGCCTAGTTTATTGATAAGAATATCATGCAAGACCATGATATCAGGGAACATGCGCTCCTTGTTCTTAGGGTCATTTGAGGTCTGGCTGCATCCCCATGCACACCTAGAAAGGACAGATGGGAAGGAAGATGTTCCTGTCTTTTTACCTTGGGCCATGCAATGTGGGTGCTATCAAAAGAAGTTACAGCAGGGTTCAGTCACTGGGTTGGAATGGGCCTGGCTGAAATGTAGCTGATGGGTGTCAGCTAGCTTGCATACATCCCGAGATAGAGAGGCAAAAATGCAGCTAGGTGTATGCCTACACTTACGAAAAGTTAAATAAGCATACTTCTTGGTGCTTTATGCAGCTGTTTGTATCCAAGGATCCCAAAGCCCTTTCCTTAAGTTGTACAGAGTGTAATTATTTAATTTGACATGATAGAGAAACTAGGACATGGGGGCCTTCACCATGAAAAAAGGTGCATTCCTTGGGGTAGCTAACTGAAAATAAAATCCTAGTGATGACAAGGTTGCCGGTTGTTTTCACATGAGTTAGCAGATCAAGCTAAAAGTAGGCTCACACATAGTCTGATTCAACCTTCTAATCCATGTGAAAACTACTAACTGCCCTGTCTTCACTGGGTTTTTTAATTGCAAGTAGTTAACTGGCAGGGTTTAAAGACTCATGAGACAAGGTTTATCTTCCAGCAAAGCCTTAGTGACATGTTAAGTAGCCAAGATCCCCCAGAGGACTGTCTCCAGGCATGGTCTTTTCTGAAAACCGCTGTCCTGAAAACCTGCGGTGAAACTGGTGGCTACACCAAGCGAAGGAACCAGGATTGGTTTGATACTAACCATAAGGAGATCCAGGGCCAGATTGATGTTAAACACAGAGCATTCGAAGCCTGGCATAGCAACTTCTCATTTCAGCAGAAGAAACATGATTATAAGCTTACCAAGGGCGAAGCACAACAAAGAATTAGAGTCCTTAAAAACAACTGGTGGAGAGAGAAAGTAAAGGAAATACAGGCAGGGCTGTGCTGACTCCAACAACAGTCATGAGTTCTTCAGTGCTGTTAGGGCAATTTATGGTCTGTCAAAACAGGGTGTCACTCCCCTACAATCAGCAGACGGGACATTGCCTGTCAAGACCAAAGTTGTCATCAATAGCTGGTGGCAGGAACACTTCAGCCACCTTTCAACTGTGATGCAATTGTCAACAATAGCTTTTTCAACGTGATCATCAATCTACCTGTCTGGCTCTATATGGATCGTGAACCCTCCATCTGCGAAATCCAAGGATCCACAAAAAAGATGAAAGACAACAAGGCCATAGGCACCGATGGAATCCCTGCCAAGAGATTCAAACGGAGGTCCATCCCTGTTGTAGTGCTTATACTCCCTCGTTCTGGTGACCTGGAGAGAGGAGACCATACCCAGCGAGCTCAGAGACACCATCGTAGTGACCATCTTTTAAGAAGGGTGACAGGACGGACTGCGGAAACTACCGAGGGATCTCCTTGATTCCAACCGCAGATAAAATTTTCATCTGAATCCTTCTGAACCATCTCCTTCCACTGGCTTAAGAAGTCCTTCCAGAGTCACAATGTGGCATCTGACCAGGGCGAGGAACAACAGATATGATCTTTTCTGCCTGTTTAATACAAGAGAAATGTCAGGAACAACGTCAGCTTCTGTATATGGCGTTCCTCAATTTGACTAAAGCTTTTGACTCCGTCAATCGCGAGGCCCTCTAGAAGATCCTGCAACACTTTGGCTGTCCACCAAAATTTGTCAATATCATATGTCTCTTATACAACAACATGCAGGCTGTGATACTCAACAATGGTGATGCAACTGAACCAGTTGATGTAAGGACTGGAGTCAAACAATGTTGTGTGATAGTAGCTATGCTATTTAATATCTTTCTGGCAGCTATGCTCCAGACTGTTGGAGATGATTTTCCAAGTGGAGTCAAAATAACCTACAGGATGCATGGTAGCCTCTTTAATTGGGCTGCTTCTGAGCCAAGACCAAGACAACAACAATGTCAGTGGGTCAGTGGTAGAATGTCAGTACGCTGACAACACCGAGGTCAGTGCTACCTTGGAAAATGGTCTCCAAGCAATCTTTGATGTTTTCATCATGGCTTACCGCAGATTGGGACTGACGCTCAATACACGAAAGACCCAGGTACTCGTTCAGCTAACACCTGCCATACCATTACCCGAACCAGCCATCATGGCGGACGACCACGTACTGAAGAATGTCAACAGCTTCCCCTGTCTCGGAATCTATCTGTCCAGCAGTGCTGACATTGATGATGAAATCCGCTGGTGTCAGCGCTGATGGAGATAGAGGCCTCATGTGCAGCCAATGCCAGAGGGTATGTCTACTCTACCCCGCTAGCTCGTGAAATGAGGAGTAACGGTAGTTCGAACTAGGAAGCCTAGTTCGAACTACCTAGTTCATGCCCCGTGTAGCCGCGCTGCACGGGGTTCGAACCAGCGGGGTTTTAAAAATGGCGGTTCCCCGCTTATGCAAATGAAGCCCGGGAAATTCAAATCCCGGGCTTCATTTGCAAGTGCGGTATGCCTACATTACCCCGCTAGTTCGAACTAGGAGGGTAGTGTAGACATACCCAGAGAGTGTTTCTTGCCAGTATTGGCCTAATTTCTCATCTTTGCACTCATTGGTTATAGGCATCCCAGGGGAAATCTTACTCCATTTGAGGGATCCCAGAGAGGCTAACTGCCCTGTCTTCACTGCGTTTTTAACTGAAGGTAGTTAACTGGAGTTAGCTAACAAGTGAGGAACACACCTTATTCTCATATTGAAGACCAGACCTGCCATTGGGAGGGGGGACAAAGGGGCCAGTTGCCCTGGGGCCCAGCAATTCAAAGGTGCCCAGGGCTCCCAGTTGCTGCTACTGCAGCAAGGGCAGAGGTTAGAGCCCCAGGACCTTTAAATCCTTACTGGAGCACTGCACTGTGTGCTTTGGGCAGCTCTTGAAGGGTTGGGGGGGCACATCATAGTCTGGGAAGCCCTGAGGGCTAGTTACCCTTTTCTGCCCAAGCTCCATCTTCCCCTGAACCCCTTGCCCAGGAGCTGGTGGAAGCTGTTGGCTCCCTTGGTGAAGACAAGGCCAGGGAGGTGAAGTGACTTGATCCAGATCATGTAGCAATGAAGCAGCAGAGTTAGAAATAGAGTATTGGATGCCTGTTTCCCAACCTCATTCTGTAACTGTGAGACACGCTAGCAAAAAAATTATTTCTGTAAAGTGCTTTGAAAATAAAGATTTTAACGTATTGTAATCATTTGCCGTGCCCATGTGTCCTCAATGTCCATGTACGGCACAGAGGATATACTTTTAAAGGTTTCATTTGAAAGACCCACTCTTAGTAAACTGCAAGCTACTCAATATGACTATTCAGACTGAATAAAACATGACACGCAGAGAGTGAGATGAAGGCCTCTGCACTATCATTTAACATCCCATAGCTAGCCCGGGCCATTTGACGTGGTCTGATGGGGCGTGGGCTTGGTCTGATGTTGTTTGGCCTGCAGCTTGATCTCTGGAATCCCCCAAGCAGGGAAGGTCCCAGAGTCCAAGCTCCAGTGTGAGCCCAAAAATCTACACAGCAATTTTTAGCCCCACAGCCAGAGGCAGCTGATTCAGGCCAGCTGCAGCTATGCTGTGGGTCTTTTATTCCAGTGTAGATGTGCCTACACAGAGTTAGCCAGCTGCTTAGTATCTCTGGTACACTTCATTGTTATTGATTAACTTAGGGGGTAAAAAAGAAACATTTTTTGTGTTGGAAACTTGTCACGGAGTTTGGTAGGACTCCGGGCTGGTTTATTAGCTTGTTCTATTTGAAATCTAGGCTTGGCTGCTGATTGAGCTAACTTGCCCTTCAGTTAGGTGAGCTGGCATCTGATTTTTAGAATTCTCAGATGAGAGCTATGCATTTTTGTAATAGCCTAGTGATTAGGGCAGAGGAAGGCAAAATACATCTCGCAGATCAGATTTGGCCTCCCAAGCCTTTGGATCCAGCCTGCCATGGTCCTCAGGCAGGCTCCCTGCCTGACTCACCTTCAAACATTTTCAACTTGGAGATCTTTGCTAAAATGTGGATTTTTTGCCCCTGACCCTTTATTTGCCAGAGAATGGCCATTTAGCAGGTAATGGTCCGTCAGTCTTGTTTACACCTTGCTGAGGTGTCGAGGTGTCAGATTGCCCTTTGTTTCTGAGGAATTAGTTTGGCCACTCCCCAGACTTATGTGGAAACAATATGTTAGTCATCATGATCTCAATTTATGTTTATAACTTCATATACAACACTGTTAAGTGCATTTTGCCATGATATGGTAGGTCAGAAAATTATGAGTTTTTAAATAATACCTCACAAGACATGCTTAGTACAAAACATAATACAATAGAATGTAGGTTATGAATTCAGGAGTATATTCTGTCACACTGAGATGATAGCTGCATGTTGTGTTTTGCATAATATTTATGAGAGAAAGGGAGATTGACTTAGTGATGGGTGGGAGGCTGAGGTACAGAGACTTGTTTAGCAGTCTGTGAAATCAGCAGGTATTAAAAATGAAAATAGCTTTGTCAATACTGTCAGAGCTGCTATGACTCTGACTTTGAGACTCATAGCTAATAAGTGATGCACCTGCATAGCCAGCTGCTTTCCCAGAGCAGGGATGGAGGAGGAATTGTGAGTAGTTCAGTCTTTGACAGGAGGTAAAAGTAGCATGTCATGGCTCTCCTTATTTTAGCTTCCGAGAGTGATTTGATAACTTTGCAAAGCCCTGTGACTTATGCAAAGTGTATAGATATTCTGTGCAGATTGCATTGCCTGTTTTTTATAAATTAATTTAAAGGCTGCATCTAGACTGGCATGATTTTGCACAAATACTTTTAACGGAAAACCTTTTCCGTTAAAAGTATTTATGCAAGAGAGCATCTATACTGGCATGGGCCTTCGCACAAAAGATTTGCTTTTGCGCAAAAGCAAATCTTTTGTGCGAAGGCCCATGCCAGTATAGATGCTCTCTTGCATAAATACTTTTAACGGAAAACCTTTTCCGTTAAAAGTATTTGTGCAAGAACCACTGATTTTGTACAGTACAAAGTCAGTGTTCTTGCGCAAATCCTCGCGGCCAGTCTAGACAGGCAGCAAGATTTTGCACAAAAGCGGCCGCTTTTGCGCAAAATCTTGCCAGTCTAGATGCAGCCAAAGTGTTTTTAGTATTAAATAATAATGATGTAACAACCAGAAATAAACATTTGATTTAAATTGCTGATGAAACAGCTTTAAAGTGACACTGCAATGGATGGCAGGGTACAACAATAGGGGCACTCCATTTCGTAGACAAGCATGTGCCTTGTGTCTTCCTCTTCTTGTTCTCGGGCCTCCTGCTGTTGAATGGTGGGACTCGAACTTATTGGGACACTGGATGGCTCACAAGAACTGGGCTTCAAGGTGCAACTGTTCCTGCTGTCCTCGGATTCAGAAGAGTGGAGCAGCTTGGGGTGCTCTGCTTCCCAGCACAACAGGCCTCCAGGGTGGCACAACCCTGCTGGTGATAGGGCTGGGGGCCGTGCAACCACACAGTTGGGAGGAGCTGCCAGCACAAGGTGCTGGCTCCTGGGAGTGGCAACACCACATTCCACTCCTTTGGCTGCAGCGTCTCCCGGGAGCAGAGCCCTGTGGATCAGCAGATACCAATGTCTATCCATGGGCTCTAGCATAGGGCTGGGGCCAGAGCAAACAGGGAGCCTGTCTTGGCCATGCTGCACCTCCATCCTGGAGCTCCCGGCAGTAAATGCCACCTAGTGGGTGCCTGCACCACAACCCTTAATTATCTCCCAGAGCCAGCACTCTCTTCTGCACCCCAACCCCCAGCTCTGATTCCCTTCCCAGAGCCTGCACCACCACCCTTGCCCTGACCCCTCTCAGAGCCAGCACCTCATATGCCCTACTGCACCCCAAAGCCCAACCCTTACCCGCTCCCAGAGCCAGCATACATACCCCTCCTGTACCCCAGACTCCCTCCTGTACTCCTAGCACCTGCCTCAGCCCTGCCCCCCACACCCTCCAAGAGCCAGCACTCCCTCCTGCACCCCAAGCTGCAGCCCTGAGGTGCCTTCCAAAGCCAGCACCTATACCCCCTTCTGCATCCCAAGCCCCCTCACAAAGCCCAATCCCCTGTCCCAGCCCAGTGAATGGGGGTGGGGGCGGGATGGAGTGAGCAGAGTGGGGCTTTGGGAAAGGAGCAGGGTAGATCTAGAGCCGGCCCCAGGCCACCTGGCCACAGCAACCTTCGGGGAGATCTGTGGCTAATGTGGCTTGGGGGCTGTTTTGGAGTGTGTGGCCCCCGGAGG